CTCCATTTATATATAACTTAAATCAGACAACTTCTACGAAAGTTAAGTGCATATAGTTGATTATAATGTGTAAAACAAGTTCAATTTATTTACCTAATTTTTTTCCATGAAAAAAGTTTATCAAAATAAGAGTGTTTCCAGTAAAATCGCTGTTAATGACAAGTTCATGTTGCTTTGACTACAAGAAAGGCTCGACATGACACTTTTTTCTCTTTGAAGTACATCGGTGCATCATCCTCTTATTGAATAATTAATTAAATATGTTTTTATTTTCTAAATTTTCATACGAGGAATTGTTTTATCAAATTTTCGTACAATTTTGTTCTTAAACATTAAAAATTAATAAATATAATCTTCCTAATTCAATTAGATTAAATTTGGTTAATACATCAAATGACATTTTAGATTTGACATTGAACTCTTTATATCATTCGATACGGGTCAATTCAAATGTCAAACTAAAATACCTTAAGACATAAGAAAAAATTAACACGGTTAAGTTAAGATAACTATATGAGATAAAAATATATTAAAATTTAAAATAGAAACAAATTATTTTAATGTTGCATCAAGTTTAGAAACTATAAATATATTTAATTATTGTGTAATTCAGGAAAAGACATTGTATTTGCAGATATAAGTGATTGACTCACTTGAGATGTCAATTTTCAACTAAGCTGGCTAAAAGATGTGAGGATCATATTTTCAACTCCGTTATTCACAGTCATTTTCTTAATGCAGAGTGCAGAGCAGAGCAGAGCCACACATTTCATTGTATTTCATAATTTTTATTTTCAAACACTTAATTGTGAAAAGATTTCACAGTAGTCACCGGCCGATTCATTCATTGGATCATATATTTCCAACAAGAATAAAACACAACTTACTCTGTCAACTTTATTTCCAACTATCATCTTCACGCAATTCTGATTAGTTGAATAGAGTTCCACTTCTTTAGACCACACTTCTGATAAATTTGTGAAGGTGTCTCTTCTCGTTACATCATAAACTACAAAAAAAAACGAAATATATACATATATGATTTGAAAGCTTGGATTAAACATGTTGTAACGACTAAAGTGAGTCCAATACAGACAAAAATGTACATAAACCATTTTAACATACCAAGAATGATTCCTTGCGCTCCTCTATAGTAAGAACTAGTTAGCGTTCTGAACCTTTCTTGTCCAGCTGCAACATATATGTAATATTACCACTTCAATCAAACCATATATGTCAATGGACAAATGATTCAACAGAAGGTCAATAGAAGGAACAATTTCACATACTAGTTTGCATCAATTCACATGAAGAAATTATTACCTGTGTCCCAAATAGTCAATTTCAATCTCTTCCCACCTACTTCGAACACCTTGATCTTAAAATCAACACCTACGTAAGACAGAACAACACAAGATAAGAACAAATAGCATTACATCAAATCATGCCTGTCATATCTGATAAAACCAGATAGAAAAAACAAAATATTCAAGTTATTTTGTACAGAATGATATCAGATAACCAAAGTATTAAGAACTGATTCCATAGTAACAAACAATGAAAACATAGTACATAGAAAAACTCTGACTCAAAAAGGTAAAAAAAAAACAGCTACTCAAAACGTTCACAAGTGGTCCCCAATAGCACTCTTGAAACCCACATAATTCTCCGTTTTTTATCCTTTTAAACATAACAAAAAATTGTGATATTTTCATGATTAAGTCCTAAATCGTAGGTGGGAGGAAGCGTGAGAAAGAATGGGTTTCAGAGGCTACGATGAATTACCGATTGTGGGGGCAATATCTTCAACAGAGTTGGAGATGAAGCTAACAAGGAGGCTACTTTTTCCCACAGCAGAGTCACCGATCAACAAGATCTTGAACGAGAGATCATAGCCACTGCTCTGACCAGAAGAAGAACTCATTCTCTGCTCTCTCTCTCTCTCTCAATGATGATGATGACAACAACGAAGTGCTTCTCAAAAAAGTGTTTGTGTTTCTATATATGTATATATATTTGTGAGTGAAAAGTACAAAAGAAAGAAAGCTATGTTATGGAAGTGGGTAGAGAGAGAGAGAGAGAACAGAATGGGGTGAGAGAAAAGAAAGCAGAAAAGGTAACCTGTAATGATAAACGGGGTATAACTTTAGCAGCATTTTTCATCGCTCATGAGAGAGAGAGAGAGTGAAAGAGAAGCTAAAGAAAACGGCTACCTTTGCCTGAGTTAACGAACAATAATCAGCTTACACGCCACAGGAACAACCCAACAACACAACAACGTATATATTCTTTTCTTAATTTCTTTTTATATGACAACCTTTTTGTTTTTCGAATTATTCTTCTATCACCTTTCATACTGCTGACGTAAATTGTATACACAAAGTGTTTATTACAATTCATTTAACGGAAGTTAATTAATTAATCAATTGTCAAATTAATTTAGTAGGTATTGTTGATTGACATATTTTTAGGTTGTGATATTTGGCAACTTTAGTTCGTCGACCGTGTGAATGCTAACGATTTTAAATTCCTCAAATTTAAAAGGTATCATTAGTATTTTTAGATATTTTAAGTTTATTTTATGTTTCGGGTAGTTTTTATACGTAGTTTTTATGCGTACACATGGTTTTTTTTGTTTTGTTAATAATTGTTTTCATGTTATTATAGAATAAGCGCTGTTTAGGAAAACATTCACTAGTACAAAAAGGTCTTCTAACGCGGCTAATACGTCTCAGTTCAGACAAACTCGAAGCATTTAAATTTATAGGCTCAGTTCAACAGGAACCGAGGCATAATAACTATATTATCTCGGTTAGAAATCACCTGAAACGTATAATTTGTGTATAACATCGGTTGGAGGAAGGAATCGAGGCCGTATAAACGTATTACTTCGGTTAACAGTATAACCGAGTCAGTATTACTTCATTGCTTTCATTGCTTCCAGTTCGCGAGACATTTCCATTCTCACACAAAAGCCTCTCCTGAAACCCTATCTTCGGCCTCTGCTAGGGTTCATCATCACTGATCCAGTTTTCTCCATTTTTGGCCGTTTAAACCACTGATTTCTTTCATTCCTACCGGTTGAATGCATCTTGCCTCTGAACTCACCGATTGAAACTTCGATTAAAACCATTTTTATCGTTCTCACACCTTCTCCTTCGTTTTTGACCGAACAAAACACCTTCTCGTTCCATTTCACCGATTCAATCGGTGAATCCTTCTCTTTCCTCCATTACAGCAGCTTGTGCTCTGGCGAGGATGACGATGGTGACCGGCGTCGAAAGCAGTGGGGAGGCGCGATGGTAGAGATGAGTACCGCGACGGCGATGATGGGAGGCTCGCCGATCGAAGGCGTTTGGCGAGCAGAGAAGATGGTGCCACGGTGCGAAGAGAAGAGTTAAACTGAGTTTCTTGATTTAGGGTTTGACGACGTGATTTGGAGTTTGGGGGAAACTTTTTGATTTAGGGTTGATGACGGCGTTGCTTTGTGGTGCGAAGGAGAGGGAGAGATTGGTAGAGTCGCAGTGGTTCGGTGCGAAGGAGAGAGAGAGATTGGGGGAAATATTGCAGGTTGTGTGAAGGAGAGAGAGAGCTTTCGCGGTGGTTTTGTGGTGGTCCGATGAATGGAGTGTTGAAGATTGGTGGAGTCGCGGCGGCATCCTGGTTCTCTGGTGGTTCGGTGGTGGTCCGACAATGATGGTGGTTCGGTGGTGGTCCGGTGGAGTCGCGGCGTCCTGCTTCAGGTTTGATAGTTAATTGGTGAATGAGAAATATTTTGTTTCTTCACCCATGAATGAGGAATATTTTGTTTCTTGGTGAACAGAAAGGAGTTGGCAAGGAGACATTGAGAAGGTCTGTGGAATGGGGCCAATAAGAGAATTCCAACTCAAGTTTGCAAATGACCAAATTCTCCGGAATGCTTCCCGTTATTCTGTTTGCCGAAAGATCTAAGATATTGAGACAAACTAGGAATTTCAAAGATGAAGGAATGGTTCCTTCCAACACATTGTTATGCAAGTCCAGCAATTCTAGATGAGCACGGTTTCCTATCTAAGAGGGAATATCTCCACTGAGTTGATTATTTGATAACTCAAGGAAGCTCAAGAATTTAATATTTGATAAATTGTTCTGCCACAGCAACACCCTCCTCAGGTTTTGCATGGAGCCAATTCATAAGGAATGTTTCCAGAAAGCTGGTTTTCATACAGAAACAAATCCTCCAAGGCTGAGCAGTTCTTGATTGCTGGAATTTCTGCTTGAGAGAAACTGCCTCGGTTCAATAGGAACCGAGGCGAAACGTTCTTCCAGAAAAAATATAAAAAAGTATGTACGGCTTCGGTTATTGGTGAACCGAGGCAAAATCTTATTTTTTTTTTGACTCGGTTAAGAACCGAGGCATAAAGTTTATCCTTTTTACCTCGCCTGTATATGCCTCGGTTGCAAAACTGGTGCCTATAAGCGAAAGGAACCGGTGCCATTTCTCTTTACTGCTCTAGTGATTGTACAAAATATATCATATGTCTGTTAGAAAAATGCTTCATGTGGCTGTTAAAAAATCGCTGCACATTAAAAATATATCATATTGCACTGAACTTGATGTGGTCATTCATTTCATTAAGCTGAGTTGTTATTAATAGTCGTGTTACAATGCGTTAATGTTCAAATAAAATCAAAACCACACGTCGAGTTCTAGGTGGCATAACAACCAACCCGGTGAAATCTCAACAATGCTAGCAACTAGAGTGAATAGTTTTGGTGACAATTTTGACACTTTTGATATTATGTTATTGCGTTTGCTTGTTGTTGTTAACCTGCAGAGTGAATAGTTCGGTCACAGTTTTGACACTTTGAAGCACGGTTTTTCTTCTTTTGGTTTCTTTCATGTAGAGCACCCCCGTTAAGGCTAGAAATAAAGAGAAAAAGCGCGGTTATAGGATGCTTAAAAAGACCTAAAAACACTTTCTGTCTTAAAATGTGACTATTAATTTATGATGATCGGCCTTGGAGGAGGTTGACCTTAGAGAGCTCAATTGAAAGAAATCGACCTATTGAGGCCATGAATGAAGGGTATTTTAGGTTCGGAAACCAAGGGTTAACTGTTGTTTTTGTTCTTGGAGGTAGAATTATTGGTGCTTGAGTGGTCACGTTTTCTTTGGTTCAAAGTTTTCCATTTGGTGTATTAAAAGGTGTTAAGTTCTTGAATTTTCCTTTTAGATAGTGTGAGTTGGAATTGTAAGTGTAATGGTTGCTTTCAGTGTTATTGGTTGGTGTATTCAATATTTTAAGTGCTAAATAATTTTAATATGGAAACTTGGAGTCCGGAGAACTTTCTAGTGTAATGTGTGCTTTAAGCTTGAAACTGAGTTGTTAGACGTATTGGGTCTATCGAGAAGGAGGTTCACCAAAGAAACAAAAATATCAATGAGATATAAGTCCAAGCATATAAGGGATTGACACCACTATCTACCAAAAACCTTAAGGCAATGGGTTAATGGGTCTTTCACCTTTATATAGTGTTCTACTTTCTCATTTTTATCCAACAATCCCCCCTCAATGGTGAGTCCCTTCCACATTGGTACACTCTCCCTCTAGCGAAAACATTCCCAACCACGAGTACCCCTCTGTATCGTTGTTCATCTTAACGGGACACGATTATCTCGAACCCTTCCTCAGGAAGACTTTTGATACAAGGATCATCGTACTCGTCTAAGCCGGTCACCAAGACAAACTATCGGCTCTGATACCATTGTTGGGTCCATCGAGGAGGAGGTTCATCGGGGAGACATAAATACCAATGAGATATAAGCCTAACGATAGAAGCCCAACGATATAAAGGATTGACACCACTCTCTACCCAAAACCTTAAGGCAATGGGTTAATGGGTCTTTCACCTTTATATAGTGTTCTATTTTCTCATTTCTATCCAATTTAGACTCACACTTGGATTCCCAACAAGACGATGGATTGTTTGGGAGTATACCTAAGTTTTTAAACGATGTGGATGGATCGTTTAGGGATGTACCTAAGTGGTTAGATGCATTTGAGGTGTACTTGAGTGGCAAACCATGTGGATGGGTTGTTTATGCATGTACATGAGTTTTTAGACATGTTTGGGGGTGTACCCGAGTGGTTAGAGGCATCTGGTACACACTAGACATGTCTAAGACCCTAGACGGTCTAACATCCCAGATGCGTTTAACACCTAGACGATCTTACACCCCAAACGGTCTTACACCTCAGATTGTTGATAAGTGTGATAATTACTTATTATTCACACTTATTTTACTCTTTAATTTTTATTTTTTCATGTTTTGTGATGCAATATTTTCCTGTTTTGTTTAGGTTTTAGGTTTAGTTAGTCCTTTTGAAGCTTGATTTGCTAAAGCTTCAATATCTCTTGATTGGTCTTCCATGATGAGAAAGCATGATTGATTTCTTTGCTTTGATTGAAGTTTTTTGCTTGAGTCACTAAACCATGGTAGTTAAACTATTTTATCTAGGCTAAGTTTACCTTTTGCTTTTCATGAGGACATGAAAAAGTTCAAGTTTGAGGGAGTTGATAAGTATGATAATTAACTATTATTCACACTTATTAGAACACCTTATTTATCCTTATATCATGTATTTTATGTTGAAATCCATGAAAAGATGTAAGATTTGTATATAGTCTACATAGATATATTTAATTATCTATTTTTGGTTTATTTTTTAGGAAATTGGAAGGTTGGAGAAGAATAGAGAATTGATGCCAGAAGTTGCTAGTCTAGCCAACAAGCACCGCTAGCCCAACTAGTAGAGTAACTCTAGCTCAACCAGAAAGTTTTGCTAGCTCAGCCAGCAAAGCACCTCTAGCCCAATGAGAGGATCTTTTAGTCCAGCGAGCACAACACCTTTAACCCAACAAGAGGTATTTGTGACCCA